ATGGAACGGTAGATATTTTATTGTCATAAAATGGTCTGATGATAGAACAATCCTGAATGTCTCCATTCAATGAATCAGAGAATAGGAGGATATACTTATTTTGTAGAGGAATAGGAATTTCGCATTTCGTATTGATGTTTGCCAGACGCAAGTTCGAAGCTGATATTATTCTCTTGAAATGGTCAATTTCCTAGCTCAAAATAATATGTTGGAGATAGAGATAAAACCTCAGTTCTTGCTAGACTGAATAAGAAAAAGGCGAGACTCAATTGAAAAGAGAACGATTGAAGTCGAAAAAATATTTTTCCAGTTTTCAGAGCCCTTGTATGGAAATGGCTACCTGATAACTTTCAAATATGTCCATAGACTCTTCAAAACATTTCATTCTCGATAAAGAATAGTAGGAATTTTTGGAACACATCCATTCTCCATTGATTTTCACATAGACAGTAATACAATACAATTGAGGTTATGGAGTAAGATCCCAGAGCGATCAGACATAACTTATTTTCACACAGATGAAACCTTAGAGTCTCAGTAGCGTCTCGAGACGCTATTTCAAAAGAAAGTTCCAGAAATTATGTCTGCCATTACAAAAATTTTCGATTTCATCAGAATTCAAACTGTCAATTAGTTATGTGGGGTATGTTGGTAACGATGGTAGCCAGAAACGGGTTTTATAAAAAGTCAGATGTTGTGGTTACCCTTGATTTGTTCAAATACTTCCTAGAGAATAAATAATAAATGTTAGAACTCCGATTGATAACAATAACAATATTGTATGCTTGTTCACACGTTGTCACTATTTTCCATTGAGCTAAACGAACTCATTTTGCGGGAGGTTCAATCTTCTCGTAGTGTTGCGATCCCGTGCATGAAGATTGTTTACTCCAACGAGAGCATATGAAAAGCTACCTGTCAAATTACACGATCTCTATCTCCCCATTGAAACGTGACAATTTTCAATTTCAGTTATTAATCATAGAAAAAACCACAGACCTCTACGGACACCATCAAATCTCCGACTCCATTTGCGTTCGGGGTTATCAGTAAGCGGTTTATGCGCCCTGAAATCGCTGTGTTTTGGAATCTCTGACAAATTGGACTCGAAAACAATTTACCACCCACTTATCCTAGCATGAGTGCATGTTTCGAATGGATCGCCGGTCATTTCGACTGACAGCTGTCGGGGCATTGGTGATGGATTTCGTGTTTCGTGATTGCGCGAGCGGGAATTGTTTGCCGTGCTGTCACACGTGGTGCTTCATTCGTAATGAGATGCGGTTTCTGTTTATAAGGAAAAATATTTTTCCTTGGAAATACCTGCTCACATGAATTATGAGAAACATGCTTCATGCAGTCGTTTGTATGACATGTTTGTCTAGCGATATGAATCACTGGTCGCTTTTCATTATGATAACTAGACAAGAAGATAGTTAAAACAAAACAAACACATATAGAGTTTGAAATAGGTGAACATCGAAAAAAATAAAACACAGACACACCTACTCATAGTATTAACCATTGGGATATCTCAACTTTTTTTGGTGAATTGTGTGTAAGAAAATAAAATTAGGAGAACTTATGATGATTTCAAGACAGATACATTGATACATACTAATTCGAAGACACTATTGTGATTGTCAATTAAAATCAACACGATCGAACTAATCACAGTCAATCACATAACTCACCAACTCTGAAGCCGATCATAGACGAACAAATTATTTACTCCACAGTTGTCTTTGAGGGTATAGTGAAAGTTTTTTCAATGGATTCATTTCACGCTTGAAGTTCCAATTTTATCTATCAACTTCTCCGGAGATATTTTTTGCTGGTATTCCTTTTTCAAGTTTAAAACAGGAGTTTCCTACAGGAAAATCTTTAGGACGCTCCGAGAGCGGTGCCTGTGCGGAAGTAGCGATTCACGTTGGATTTGAATCGCTAGAGATTAAATTCATTTGGGAAAACGTTCCCAGAAAGACTTGTCCACATAAACGCAGTTCTCCGAATAAAATAGTTCTTAAACAGTGAAGTTCAGGGTGTACTGAGTTGAACCCCAGAAACGATGAGCACCCACAATTCATTGCGTATTTCTGATATGAAGCGATGTTAATATTTTCCTTTTTCCATGAAAGTCATCTTTAATATTGAATACTTATGTTATTTATTTCCTTTCGTTATTTTTTTACATACTTTGAGAGTTTTCTGCTACCATTATTGTTTGAATCCACGGCTACTATCTGGTATTTGATACTTATCAATTTTTGTCTTTTAATACAATTCAGCGGCTTCTTGTTTATTCAGTTCAATTTCTATACATGTGTTTCCTCCATATTTTTCACTTCACGATCATCGTTGAACCATTTCTTCAATTTATCTATTTTCTCTTTATTTGTTTTTTTCTGTTTTTTCATTGATCAACCAAGTAGCTTTTTCTTCGACTTGGGAGCAACCATATCATTTTGTGTTTCTTTTTGGGCAGTAATTTTGTATTAGCAATATATGTCGACTCTATAGCAATATTCCATGGTATTGCCCCGTTGCACTATTTGATCAGTGAATCGTTTTGCTTTATTTCTATTATTTTTCTCTTTCCCGACTTCTCATCAAAGTCTTCCACTATTATTAATGTATGATTATGATATTTTTAAAATTTCAAATGAACAAAGGAGCTTTCGAGGAATCTGGCCAGTTATTGATGAAAATACACGATGAATGTTGATAAACTTTTGATGTTTAATCAATCCATTTGAAATCGAAACAAATACATGAAATATTAAAAGATACCGGTCAAATCTTCCATCTTCACGATATTTTCCAAGTTATACTATGTTGAACAAGACAAGTGCTGCTAAGCCCACTAATTATTTTAGCAATCATGCATTTGTCTTATTTTCATAATCAAACTCCATCCATTCTATCATCAATGAATGCATATATTCCTTTTGCAATGAAACTTCCTTGGTTCAACAAAAAATGCCAGCAAGCTGTCGCCTCCAAAAATCTCGACTACCAGAAGAGGCGCAAAAATCCCAGTGCCAAATACCGAACCAGGTGTATTAATGCTCGCAACAGCTGCAAATAATAAATGAAAACAAACACCTTCACAATCAGAAAATTAGGGATAAATTGCTTGCCAATCCCAACGGGTTTAAGTCCTCCTGGTTGATAGCCATCACTAACACAAGCGGATGGTTCAATTGCAACAACAGTCATAGAAAAAGCAAATCTACTAGCTGAAGAATTTGCGTCCCACTCCACAGTCGACTTTCTGGTAAAGGCACCACCTACTATTCCTACACTAGAAATCACAATGCCAGAAATTACTTTTCGACAGCGTCTTATCAGGCGAATTTTCAAACAGCTCAATATCAAAAAGGCGTCTGGCCATGATGAAGTGCCCGTCATCGTACTTAAAAAGTGCGCAAATGAACTCGCACCAGTAATTTGCAGACTTTTTAATCTGTCTTACAAGAAAGGGGTTTTTCTCCTTTCTTGCTCGCGTTCAGCCCATTTCCAAAAAGGGCAAAGAAAACTCTTTCAAATAACTATAGACCAGTCGCTTTGCTTTCAGTGATTTCAAAAATCACGAAGAAAGCCGTAAACCAGCATATCTTCATAGCTTCAACATCTTGAGCGATCATCAATATGGTTTTCGGAAACAAAGAGCAACAGGCGAGACCCATATTTGGAATAACGCAATCGAGAAACATGGAGAGTCATGAGCTGTTGCGCTTGATATTTCTATGGCCTTAGACCGTGTGTGTGCTGGGCAACTACGATGCTGTGGCTTGTCGGATCATTTTTTTTGGTATGGCTCTTCAGCTTCCTAAAAGAACGTTCCCTGCAAGTGGATGTCGATGGATACCTCTCGCTGGTGTTCCCCAGGGATTCATATTGTCTCCAAGCCTCTTTATTGTATATCAACGACTTATTGGAAAAAACCAAGAATCCAATATATTGCTTTGCTGACAGCACACTTATCTCGTCATTACCTTTGGATCCCAGGACATCAGCTGCGGAAGCACACCTTCACCGGCAGTGGGGTGAAAGTAACCAGCTTCAATTCAATGCCACCGGTTTTCTCCGAGAAGATTATCCAAACCGGATATAATAATGTCAGGTCAGACAATTCCGCTTTCTGCTTCGACAAGTTTGTTGGGAGTTAAAATGGTCACCAATATGTCTTGGCACAGTCGTGTTGTTGGAATTGTAAAGGCTACTTCTCAAAAGTGTGGAACACTGTTCCGAATCAGAAAACTGTACATACCTCAGCAACTTTTGATGCTTTATAAAGCTCAGATCAGACCTCATTTGGAGTATTGTTCTCATGTATGGCGCCCCGCCCCCAAACATACCCTGAAGCTGCTAGAGTCCATCCAGAAAAGAGCTGTCCACCTGAATGGAGACGAGAACATCACTTGCAACCTTGACAGTCTGGAACATCAAAGAAAGGTTGGAGATTTGTCTCTCTTTCACGTGAAGTGTTCAAGTGACTTGGCACATTTGATTCCACCAAGAGCGGTACATATCCGAACTATGGGACGGACTGTGGCTACCCATCGTTATGAGGTTCAACTCAGTACATCTCGAACTGCACTGTTTAAGAACGGCGTTCATGTGAAATACAGTTCCTGGAGATGTTTTCCCCAATGGATTCAATCTCCAGCGATTCAAAGGCAATGTGAATCATTACTTTCGCACAGGCACCGATTTAGGAGCGTCGTAGGGATTTTCCTGTAGAGCTTGTGTTTTGTCCTCAAAAAGAAATGAAAAATGACGGAGACGTCTCAAAGAATGACAGCTGTGCAAAAGTTCTTCCAATGATACACTGAAAGAAATAGTCCAAGTAAAATAATTTTTTATTGGTCACCTCTTCAAAAGGTCTTATATGGACTTCTCTTGTTCAGTGAAAAAACAATTGATCGCTCATTTACGTTGGCAGAGGTTCATTCACTCTCAAATATCATGGCGGGGATAAAATAGAAAACTAGAGAGCATATTAGACGTGGTGACCTTCACTGTTCATATTACCGTAATAACCGGTTGATAGTTTGAATACTTCATTTATACTGTAATTTTAAACATAAAATTCTGGTTAGTGAAACGAAAAAACTTTTGGGAAGATCAGGCAGTGAATTGAATTAATGTAAGTGATAAATTATAAAGAAACGGAAATCAAACAAAGAAGCCATTGTATGGCAAAACACGTGTTGTGTTTTTGTAGGACTGTTTAGTGAAATTCTCACAATGGAGTGTTTTTTGAATACGTTATGGATATTCATCAAGTGTCGGCCAATCCATCATATGAAATCAAACTGATTTTAATTTCTCACAATTGATTTGAATGGCTGGTTGCCTGCCTACTGTGCCGGCCGCAGGCGCTGAAGTAATTACTTTTAAGCAACGTAATGAGCACTTTATAGCAATAATATAATCTTATTGGCTGATCTCTTCATTTTCATATGTACTATTCGAATTCTTCATGTAGTACCATTCTATTGTTTCAAAGGTTGTTTAAAAAACCATTTTGATGTCATGTGTTTTTCTAGCCTAATATCTTAATAAATATATTCTTTAATGTAACATACTTACTGGTATATACTGATCGATAAAGAATTTTGTACTCTACACTCTACATTGACGCTGTTAATTTAATGTTTATTCTTTGTCTCTATTCAGCTCATTACAATATGATTAACAGCAATTTTTGGCCAATTTTTCTTTATGAATTCAAATTGAACCAAAGTGCTGCCGAAATAGCCCAAAAAATTAACCAGGCATTCCACAATGATAGTGTTAATGAACGCACTATTCGACGTTGATTTGCGAAATTTCGTTTCGGAGATTTCAGCTTCAAAATGAGCTCCGAAGTGGGCATCAGCCCCTCTACGGTGTTTGATGGTTTAAAACATATTGATAAGGTCAAAAACCTCAGAAAGTGAGTGCTCTATGACTTGAACGATTGACAGAAATTGTCACGTTTTGATGTCTGTTTTTCTTTGCTTCTGCGCAACCAAAACGATCCATTTTTTATTTTGAATCAGATCGTCAGGTGTGATAACAAGTGGATTACTTACTACAGGAGACGTCCAGGACAGTGGTTGGACATCGAAGAGCTCAGACACTTCTCAAAGGCAAAAATCTGCTAAAAAAAATTATAGTTACTGTATGGTGGTCAGCAGCTGCAGTCATTCACGAGACCAAACCATCACAGCAGAGTCCTATTGTAACAAAATCGACGAAATGTATCGGGAATTGCATCAGTAGCAGCCAGCACTGGTCAACAGAAGAAGTCCTATCCTGCTCCACACGATTCACAAATGGCCGTCCAAAAATTAAACAAATTGAGCGTCGAAGTTCTGCCTCATCCACCCCACTCCCTCGACCTCTCGCCAACCAACTACCATCTTTTCGAAAACTTCGATAAGCAAAAGCGGCCTTGGTCGACTTCATCCAATCCTGAGCACCCAATTTTTATGCTGATGGAATTATTCAACTTGGGTTACATCGGTAAAAGTGCACTGATTCAAATGGCGCCTATTTTGAATGACTTCAAAAATTATTCACTGAGGAGTACAGTTGAAATTAGACTCATAAAAATGAACAACACCTAGAACGAAAGTTCTACAAGCAACGGTCATCTAAAAATTATATCAAATACAGCGAACGGCTTGTTTAAATATCACAGGAGTCATGAGAAGAACACCAACCGCGGCAATGAAATTAATTACGGATCTGACCCCTCTGGACCTGTACATTAAGGTGGTTGCGTTAATGGCCATGGTACGATTGCGCACGACTGGTGTTAACCTCGAAGTAGGAATGGGTCAATTGAGGCTGGGCCTATGGCGAGAAGAGCTTACTGCGCAACCTCTGCTGCAGGCAACCAGTGAGGCAATTGAACCCAGGTTTGTGTTTAATAAACCTTACAAAATACAAATAAAATAGAACACAAAGTCAGATGCTACAAATGCAATACGCATATATACAGACGGCTCAAAAACCAAAGAAGGCTCAGGATGTGAAGTGTACTCTAGATCACTAAGCCCAAGGATTAAGTGGGGAATGGGAAAAATACCAGCGTGGTCCAGACAGAACTGGCTGGTATCTCAATCACCACAAAAGAAATAGCCAGGAAAGGAATTTCTGGAAAAACATAACAATCTGCACTGACAGCAGAGAAGCCTTATTAGTCTTGAACAGACAACCTGTAACCTCAGGGCTAGTACTAGAGTGTCACTAAGATTAAGCCAAGCCTTGGTAGATAATAACATTATCCTGAGGTGGGTTGAAGGGCACGACAGGAGTAAAGATAATTGCATTGCCGAGGAAGCGGCTGGCCTGAAAATTTTAGAACCCATTGGCACCTACGGCCTGATGACTTCGACAATTGCAGAACTAGTCAAATGTTACACCCATGCTCAATCCCTGAAGAGATGGGAGGATGCAATCTTACCTTGGGCGACCCTGGGAAGCTGTCGCCGAAGAAGAATCTTGCGATGGGCCTACACTCATCCTCCCTACTCTACAGATACAGATGAACAACACTTTTGAAACAACCCAATATAATAATTATTACTTGACTGTGCATGATGGAAATCACCTCCATAATATATTTATAAAATATATTCAATAGTGTTTTTCGGATACAAAACCTAATGCTATAGACATAAAAATTATCTGGCAACGCTGGCCGTATTGCTGGCTCGACTTCAAGCTTCACAAACATAAATAAAAATAAGTTATTCTACCCAGCAACTGATAATTCTAAGGCTAAGGCCGCCCCACGAATTTTTCCCGCAAGCGGTGAATCGCCAAACCACATAACCTCTCGAGACGCACACACTCTGAATGAAAACCGCGAAACTGGCCACGATTTTCAGTTTGAATATGGATTTCAAGAAGTTGTATGTATGCTCGTACTCAGAAACAGAAAAAGAAAACGTCATAAAAATGTTTGCAAATATTGGGTCCATCCACTTACTAGCTGAAGATTTAAGAAAAGTGTCTTTCATTAAAATAATCGAGATTTCACAAAAGCATCCTGGGAAATTTTACAGCTTCTATCGGATGTCAGTAGCTAGTTTCAAAACAATTTTGTATATTGTACGTCCTACATTACATTACATGCATGAATACAATATTTCGCTTATGTATTTCACCAGAACAGCGACGACTCTTCATGACGGTATGCCGAATAATGACAGAATCGTCCCCGGTTGCCACGTCTAATGTGTGCGCTCCAATATGAGTTCTATGAACTACAAATTTTGGCGCGGTTTTTTCCCGCTAGCCATTCTGTAACAAGTTGCGGTATCAAAATCAGTCGCGGGAAAGAAACCGTCAGTGCAGCTGCTTAGTTTCCTTTACTCACAAAGTCAGGCGGTTGTTATAGACATCTTAATTTTGGACAGGTTGGAGGCTTACGACTGAGGTTCGTCAGGAAAACAAACGGGTTGAAACTGATCACGGGATGGCGGCATGAATATCAGACGTCAGTACCGCCCTTCATGGTAAACCCCTGCTTGGCTGGGGTGAGTAGATGACGAGATTGTTCATCCATTAACTAGGGACATGAGGGCCTCATTCGACAGAGTGTCGGGACCTTCTATATCGGGAGGGGTCGTCTACAGCATAATCTATAGCTTCCCTAACTAACAATCAGGCGGTTAAAATCCGTGGCGGTTTACCCGTAGTGCGGCCTAACCCTGAGGCCATTCGAAGTTTGCTAGGTCAGCTGGTACACATATAGATAAGACAATATGTGTTTACATATGTTATTCCACATATTCATCATCTCATCTGATTTTGTAATATTTTTTCAGATAAAAGATTGCATCAACAAATGTTGTCAGTTTGATCGGGCAAAGAAATCAGTCATGAAACTCAATCATCTAAAAGCGATCATTGCGATTCTGGCCGAAGATCGAATCCACATCCACGAAAAAATAAACCTCAATCTGGATGACAACTTCTTACGTGATCTTCCGAAGTTATGTTTTGGAAAATATACCAGGAGCATCAATCAAGACAAGTTGAGAGAAGGTATGCAAGAACTCATAATTGGAACAAAAAGTCTTAATGGAAATTCTTGGGTTGACAACATCATAATCAAAGCTATTGAGGTCATATTTTCAAACACAACTCAAACCGAGAGGCAACACTATTTCGAAGAGTTGATAGATTATTTTTATATGATTTTGAATGAAAAGCTGCTTCAAGAAGAAATGCCTTCGCCTATTCTGTCGCTTGCCGAATACAAAAATAGAATAAATAGATTCATCCCCATTGTGAAGTTGAAACTGGCACTGAAATTGTACGATAATACACAAAAAGGTGAAAAAATTCCAGAAGGTATAATGGAGACAACAGTAGAAGAGATTTATCAGTATATTCTCTGTCCCAGATTACTAACAGAGGATTGTTATAAAATACTTAGCAAAAAACTGGGGACATTCGACTACAAGATATTGGAGTATGCTTTGGTTTCTACAGCGCAACGGCAGGGACAACTAGGTGATTACTTCAAACTAGAAATAATATTGGAAAACAGTGAACAAAACCTGCCACTTTCGTTTTTCGGCAAGTTTTTTCCAGCAGATGACAACAAAAGGGAGCTCTCATTATTAATCTACAAGAAAGAAGAATTCTTCTATGGTCACTTCATTCCAATCCTCAAACAACTTGGGTTGGGTTCCATAACAAATTTTGCTGCTGATTCATTCCTCATCAAACCAAACGATTGTATTATTTTAGAAGATCTATCTGTTTTGGAATATGCTGCTATAGATCTTCTTGTTCCTTTCAATTACGAAACACTCGCTGCTGTCATGAGAAATTTGGCAAAACTACATTCCTGTTCTCTGATATTCGAAGAAAAGCTTGGAAAAACACTTGGGAGAACCGTGCGAATTGGAGAGTATTACGCAAACTACTTCAAAGAGGTGATGTATAATCCAGATGTAGGTGAACCTGTAGTCAAATCTTCCTGTGATTTGGTTGTGAACTTCTACTTGGATAAATACCCAGATCTTATCAGGGACTTAACCATGGAAGACTTCAAAGAGAAAGTGAAATATTATTTTGGCAAAGTGTTCCAGGATGTCAAACCTTCCAAGACGTACCGGAACGTTGTGAACCATGGTGATATGTGGGGAAACAATATTTTGATTCGCACCGATAGTGAAAAAAAGTGTGTATCGAGTCTGTTGGTCGATTATCAGCTGATAAGATATTGTCCTCCGGCAATTGACATACTTTTCGTCATGCACGCGAACAGTGATAAGAGCACAAGAGATAAATATTCGTCTAGACTTCTAGACGATTACTATTCTGAAATGAAGCATATTTTGAAACAACACGGAATTGACGTCAGTGAAATCTATCCATACGAAACTTTAATGGAGTGTGTACATGAGATGAAGTCCACTGCAATTTGTATGTCACTGCTTTACAATCAGTTGTGGTTGATGCCTAAGGAGGTGATCTCTGATATTATGGGCGACATAGAAAAGTCGAAGAAGTTCTTCGATGGAGATCGGGTAGAAATTTTCGAAAAAATTTTCGATTTCGCACCTAGAAGAAGGATTAAGGAAAATATCGAGGAACTGTATGAAATTTGTTCCAGATAGAACGTTTTCACTATTGTGGAAGGGAATAAAGCCAGTTTAGCATATTATTACTATTACTCCTCACAAAATATATGTTTTGAAAATACACGGGAGATGACTAAGACTTGGTCAAAGTTTCTCTCATAGTTTCCGTATCTCTCATAGTTTCCGAGATCGAATTTGAAACACCCTGTATATACATATCACGTAAACGATTATTAATGATTATTATAAAAATCTTAACAGTATATAAGCACGTATTATTTGAAACGTGACTTGAAAATGATGATAACAATTTTGTGAATGTACATTATTAGTATCATTATTTAATTTTACGAAAGTAACAATTGGCTTATGGTAGCTATAATAAACAGTGCATTTTTTTAATATCCCCCCGTTTTATTTTTTGAACGGATTAAAGGGGAGGGGACATTAAATAAAAGCACTGTATGTACATACACAAAATAATCATTGAAAGGTTTCATTAATAAATAACCTTTCCTCACACTAATATACACACTTAATATACACAAAATTTAGGTGATGAGCTAGGCTTTATTCAAATTGAACAATGGCAATAGAAAATTCTAATATCTCATGAAAATTAAAATTGAATCACCCTATAAATAGTACATATGAATCACCCTGTACGAGTTTAACATTCCAGAGACATTCAAGAAACATTCATGAATGTGGTAAATTCAAAATTCCACCTGTACCAAAATTAATTAGATTATATTATGTGAAAGGCAATCGATAGAGGTTGGTGGTTACTGTCAATAGGAATACAAATGATATCTGATAAATAAAATGAAAAGGTATTGCACTTTTTTCTGCATTTGTAGTGCAGAAGATTGCGCGACCTTATAACCGGAAGTATTATCATCAAAAATGGTTGCTAAAAGCAGTTGGTCACTTTAATTGGAGTCGCACTAAACGGTTTATATTTTCTCAATACCTAAGTATGAAACTCAAGTTGAGTAAACATAATAGTCGTTAAAAACGGGTAGTCGGTAAAGGCGAAGTCGGTATTTATGAATTCTACTTCATACTTATTCATATTTTGTTACTTATCTATACACACGGTGTTTCATAACTACACAACCAAACTGAAACTGGAGATTTGACACGATAAATAAACTATCCTTTTCAAAAGGAAATTTTTCTTGAAGAAAAATATTTGCTTGGATACGGGAATGATGAAATGATGGTGAGAAATTCATGTTGATAGAAAGTGAGGTTAGAAAAGTTTGTACGAAATTAAGAATGAAAAATATATTGTTAAACTGAAACAGATAGTAAAGATGTAGCAATAAAAATTGTATAGATACAAAAATTAGAATTCAGAAGTAACAGAAATAAATTGTTGGTTGTTAGGAAAACTAGTTGATGTTCAATTACTAAATCAACAAGAAGGAGAAGCTTGCTCCCGTAATTTCAAGGTATTTATTGAAAAAAAAACTAATTTGTATTAGAAGTATAACAAACTATAAGTGTTAAACGCTGTATGAAGAATACATACCTGAAGAATTTTGGTATCTAGAGAGAATACCACCGAGGTATCCTGTATTTCTGCTGTTCCCGCTGTGAGAAAACTTCCCGATCATCACCACACCACGAAAGTATTTCTATTCCGATTATATTTGCAAATATGAAATGAAAAAAAAATCAAATAAAAATTATATTGGCCAACTCAAGAAAATATTTCATGAATTAACAGTCATCACAGAACAATCGTGCACAGAAACAAAGAACAAAGATTTTGAAAGAGTGTGTGTAAAAATTTGCTCTGAACCGTTCGAGAGAAAACATAAGACAATGTTTTTAACATAAGTCACGATTTCCTTGATGTAAGTCGTTCTTGTTCGAATCATTTCAATTTACAATTTCCAGTTTTATATTTATTAAACCATTATTACACTTTACCCAGTGTCACTTGTATCTTTTCAGCATTTATTCACAGGTCTGTTTCTTGGTAAGTGTATGGCATCAGAATCTGAATCCACCTGAGGTGTTGAGAAAAATCTCTATACTGAGTGTTGTATAGGATTTAAACTCAACAAAAGAGTCTTGCCGAGTAAATTCATTTCGAAATCAATATCAATATTGTGATAATCACAAATATTGAATTATAGAATCAACATTTTGATAATGATAATAATACTGAATTAAATAACAATCATAAACATTACATTCATAAATCTCATAATCTCATCTCTCAGCATGGTTTTTGCCCAGGTAGGTTAACGGAAAGTGCATTTTATGCTTTTTTCAAGTCTGTTTATGACTCACTTGATGAAGGGAAGTATGTTGGTGTTTTTTTCTTGGACCTATCGAAAGCTTTTGACATTATTAACCCCGATATTGTTTGCAGTAAACTATATGCAATGGGTTTCAAAGGTATCTTTCTACAGTGGCTCAGGTCGTACTTGACTCAAAGGAAAATACATGTTAAAATTGATAACTGTTACTCTCAATCGTATGGCATAGACCTAGGAGTTCCTCAAGGCTTCATTTTGGAACCACTCATTTTTTTACTATATATCAATGATATGCCGAATTATATAAGCACAAATTGTATTGTCTTATATGTGGATGATACAACTTTAGCGATTGATGCTGATAGCTCCGAAGAACTTCAAGAAAAGCTTGTCGTTCGAATTCACAACCTGGTGTAGAAAAAAATCATTAGTTGTGAATTCAAGCAAAACAGCGGTGATGCTTTTTACTATAGAACGATTAAAAAAATTAGACCACTTGTGGTCGGGGTACGAAAAGAGATTATTGCATCATCAGACAAAACCAAATTTCTTGGTACGGTCATAGATAACATGTCGTGGAAGTCAGGTATAGCTCAAGTGAATAAAAAAGTCAATTCGGGGTACTATGCTATTAGACAATTGAGATCGGTATTCAACAAAAAACAGCTCCTAAATGTTTATTTTGCCCTTATATACTGTCACATCTCATATAATATCGCTGTGTGGGGTTGCTCCTCCAAGCTTCATAGAATATTTGTGTTCCAGAAAAGGGTTATACGACTAATATCCAAATTAGAGTGCCGAGAGTCTTGCAAAAAACTTTTGTTGAAAATGAAATCATCTGTGTACCATGTATATATATTAACAAGTGCATACTAGTATTCAAGAAATATTCACACGATCACCATCGAAACTTTGAAATTCATTCGTACCCAACGAGAGATGGTAATTTGATAAGGCTTCAAAAATACTCTACATCGTTTTACGAAAAGTGTCCATCTTTCACAGGTGCAAAATTTTTCAATAATCTTTCTGTAAATATAAGGAATGAAAAAAAAAATTATATTTTCAAAGTCAAACTGAAAGAGTTCTAGGTTAACGGTTGCTTTTACAGTACAGCAGAATATTTGAGTCAATATGAGGACTGATAATATAAGTGTTGATAATGAAATATGCTGTATGTTTGTATGTCATATATATGTAAATGTGTGTTTGTGCATATATGTATGTATTTTATTTTCCATGTGACGTATCCTATATCATTTTGTGATCTTGAAGGATTTAATAAACATTATTATTAATATTATGCTTCATCCACTCTCGTTAATATACTTTTCAATGTATTATCAATGACGGAATCAAAAATTTCAATTCATTTCCTAATTTCTCCAGATCATTTCGGTATTCTTCACGTGATCAACGAAAGACATTTAATGGAATCACTTTGTTTTAATTACCCCGATTTCGAATAAACACATGCTGAGAGCCAGAAAGTGTTGGTCTAAGGTAAGTAGTACACGCAGTACTGGCTTTCGAACAGTACCAATTAGCGACCACCCATGTTGAAATGGCCAATAGGCGTCGGTGATAGGCGAAGGTGAACCGTTTTCGAAGATCGTATCAGTGGTGTAACCATTCAAGATTATAGAGAAACGGTGTCGATAGAGGAAAGTTATGGGCGGGCCCACATTTTGGCAATTTAAGGGTCATTTCGGACATTACAGAATCACTTCCATTATACGAGGTTGTATTGAGAACAATTCTCACCCTACTACAGAAGAATTTTTTTAATTTGCAACGACTTTAGACCAAAACAACATCTTGCTCTTGCTATCACTTCCTCGACAGGAAGAAATTACCACCTTTCAGGATGTTTTTCAGTTGATGAGAAAATATTCAATAGTCAGACGGGGCTAGATCTTGTGAATGAGGAGGGTGTTCAAGTAAATCGAACCCTGAATCACGAATTGCCTGAATGGCAATATGTTATTTTCGTGCCACAAAAACAAAACACTTTCGGACAACGTTATTTGTCTTCTCTACATGATTTTTTGTCGTAGACTGGTCGTTTTTTTTTAGGAAAATCAATCGTATTCCCTGACAATCACAAAAAACTTCCGAAAACTTCTCCAGTAAATTTTTGAACTTGCAGTTTTTTACGCCTTGAAAAACCAGAATGTCTCCATTCCTTCGCTAGCGACTTCATTTCTGGGTACTAGAAACATATCAAAGACTCATCAACATTAACATCGCGGCTTGAGAAGTTAGCACCTGTTCAAAACCGACTACACATCGAACGCGATGGTTTCATTCTTGCAGGCTTTTGGGATTCTAACATTTAAGGTTAGGTCAGGTTAGGTCCAAAGCGACCTTCTACCGCAAGGGTTATTGTGGCTGACACCTATTCACACTCGACCAAATGAATCCAGCTTCTTTACGAACGCGATTGGTTTGTATGGTGAGTGGTCTTTCAGGTCAGTCTTTGATATTCCAGGCAATCATAGTTTCACATGATGTTCGCGTCTCCAATCAGGCGGATGGCTCTTTTCTGGATGGAATCCATCAACTTCAGGGTATGATTGGGGGCAGAGCTCCATACATGAGAACAAAATTTGAAAGGAGGTCTGATATCAGCTTTATAAAGCATCAAAAGTTATTGAGGTATATATGATAGTGTGTATAGCGACATGATTGTGCCAAGACATATGGTTGTCCATTTTAACCCCCAACAAACTTATTGAACCTGGGTAGGCTTAGGCAAAATCAGTATTTGATATTATTCCCTTCTTGATTATTATTATATTTTCTGCACAAGAATGCTTACCTACTGAAGAAAAATAATTGGTGAGGTCAATAGGAGT